TTCCAGCTTCAGTTAAAAGTTCAATAGCATGCCTTCTTTGGCACATGTAGATCCCTTATCTAGATCTTATAACCTCTATTCCTAGGAAATACTTGAGTTTTACTAGGTTCATTATTTTAAACTGCTCATCAAGTGTTGACTTTAAGACCTCAATCATCCTCATATTATTTCTTATCAAAATTACATCATCCATATGGATCAATATGGCTGTAAAACTCTCTTTTGTCTTTCTAACAAATAGAATATAATCTGCTTCTAACTGCTCAAATCCTTACTGTAAAATAAAAAAAATGAGAATTTTGCATACCACTGTCTAGATTGTTTCAATTCGTATATACTCTTCTTTAATCTGCACACACCTGAGTTGTTTGCAACTTGGTATCCTAAGAGTAATTCCATGTACATTTATTCATCTAAATCTCCATGCAAAAATACATTATTTACATCAAATTGTCTCAAGTGCCACTCATTTATAGCAGCTAAGGAAAGTATTAATCCTACCGTGGTAATTTTTACTACTAGTAAAAATATCCCATGAAAATCAATACCCTCTCTTTGTGTATAGTCTTTGGCAACAAGTCTGGTCTTGAACCTTCCTATTATTCCATTAGCTTTGTTCTTGATTTTATACACCCATTTATATCCCACAGCTCTCTAGTTGAACAGTAAATAAGTGACAGACCAAGTCCTACTTTTTTCTAAGGCCTCTGTCTCATTTTTCATTGAATCCACCCATCTGGTATCCTTGCAGGCTTCCTAGTAGTTTATCGATTCTTATTCAGTATCAACAGTAAACACAAATTTCTTATAGTTTGCGTTCAACTTGTTATAACTCATGTAGGAGGATAAGGGAACTGTCTTACCTTTAAACAGTTGTGAATCTTTCTTCATTGCCTGATTTCTATTCACAATCATTGCCTCTCCATACACATAATCTTTCAACAACACAAAAGCTCTCTTATTCCTGTTTCGCATTCTCAGTCTCACAGATGAATCTATTTCTTCAGCATTGGAATTTTCTTATTCATTCTCTTCATTTCCCTCTGCATCAACACTATTTTCAGTTGATTCTCCTTTATTTCTTTCTTCCTCATTGCTTGTATTTTTTAATTCTCTTATTATTCTCTCAGTTTCATCAACTGGTCTGCATTCTCTATTTCTTCTTAGTCCAAGAACTATCTGGTTCTGGTTTCTTGCAATCACTTCATCATTCTTTTTTGTTTTATAAAGCATCACCGATTCATAAAAAATAATATTTCTTGATATAAAAGTCTTACCATTTTCAACATCCAACAACTTTTATCCTTTAGTTCTAAAAGGGTAGTTAAGGAATACACACTTCCTTGCTCTTGGGTCAAATTTATGACGATGACTTAGCAAGGTAGAGGCAAATGTAATGCATCCAAAGGAATACACACTTCTTTCCTTGTAGTTTGCGTTCAACTTGTTATAACTCATGCAGGAGGATAAGGGAATTATCTTACCTTTAAATAGTTGTGAATCTTTCTTCATTGCCTGATTTCCATTAACAATCATTGCCTCTCCATACACATAATCTTTCAACAACACAAAAGCTCTCTTCTTCCTGTTTGGAATTCTCAGTCTCACAGATGAATCTATTTCTTCAGCATTGGAATTTTCTTTTTTATACTCTTCATTTCCCTCTGCATCAACACTATTTTCAATTTATTCTCCTTTATTTCTTTCTTTCTCATTGCTTGTATTTTTTGTTTCTCTTATTATTCTCTCAGTTTCATCAACTGGTCTGCATTCTCTATTTCTTGTCAGTCCTAGAACTATCTGGTTCTGGTTTCCTACAATCACTTCATCATTCATTTTTGTTTTATAAAGAATCACTGATTCATAAAAAATAATATTTCTTGATATAAAGTCTTACCATTTTCAACATCCAACAACTTTTATCCTTTAGTTTTGAAAGGGTAGTTAAGGAATACACACTTCCTTGCTCTTGGGTCAAATTTATGACGATGACTTAGCAAGGTAGAGGTGAATGTAATGCATCCAAAGGAATACACACTTCCTTCCTTGTAGTTTGCGTTCAACTTGTTATAACTCATGCAGGAGGATAAGGGAATTGTCTTACCTATAAACAGTTGTGTTTCTTTCTTCATTGCCTTATTTACATTCACAATCATTGCCTCTCCATACACATAATATTTCAATAACACAAAAGCTCTCTTCTTCCTGTTTAGAATTCTCAGTCTCACAGATGAATCTATTTCTTCAGCATTGGAATTTTCTTTTTTATTCTCTTCATTTCCCTCTGCATCAACACTATTTTCAATTTATTCTCCTTTGTTTCTTTCTTCCTCATTGCTAATATTTTTTGTTTCTCTTATTATTCTCTCAGTTTCATCAACTGGTCTGCATTCTCTATTTTTTGTCAGTCCTAGAACTATCTGATTATGGTTTCCTGCAATCACTTCATCATTCTTTTTTCTTTTATAAAGCATCACCGATTCATAAAAAATAATATTTCTTGATATAAAAGTCTTAACATTTTCAACATCCAACAACTTTTATCCTTTAGTTCTGAAAGGGTAGTTAAGGAATACACACTTCCTTGCTCTTGGGTCAAATTTATGACGATGACTTAGCAAGGTAGAGGTGAATGTAATGCATCCAAAGGAATACACACTTCCTTCCTTGTAGTTTGCATTCAACTTGTTATAACTCATGCAGGAGGATAAGGGAATTGTCTTACCTTTAAATAGTTGTGAATCTTTCTTCATTGCCTGATTTCCATTCACAATCATTGCCTCTCCATACACATAATCTTTCAACAACACAAAAGCTCTCTTCTTCCTGTTTCGCATTCTCAGTCTCACAGATGAATCTATTTCTTCAGCATTAGAATTTTCTTTTTCATTCTCTTCATTTCCCTCTGCATCAAGACTATTTTCAGTTGATTCTCCTTTATTTCTTTCTTCCTCATTGCTAGTATTTTTTGTTTCTCTTATTATTCTCTCAGTTTCATCAACTGGTTTGCATTCTCTATTTCTTTTCAGTCCTAGAACTATCTGGTTCTGGTTTCCTGCAATCACTTCATCATTCTTTTTTATTTTATAAGGCATCACCGATTCATAAAAAATAATAGTTCTGGATATAAAAGTCTTACCATTTTCAACATCCAACAACTTTTATCCTTTAGTTCTAAAAGGGTAGTTAAGGAATACACACTTCCTTGCTCTTGGGTCAAATTTATGACGATGACTTAGTAAGGTAGAGGTGAATGTAATGCATCCAAAGGAATACACACTTCCTTGTAGTTTGCGTTCAACTTGTTATAACTCATGCAGGAGGATAAGGGAATTGTCTTACCTTTAAACAGTTGTGAATCTTTCTTCATTGCTTGATTTACATTCACAATCATTGCCTCTCCATACACATAATCTTTCAACAACACAAAAGCTCTCTTCTTCCTGTTTGGCATTCTCAGTCTCACAGATGAATCTATTTCTTCAGCATTGGAATTTCTTTTTCATTCTCTTCATTTCCCTCTGCATCAACACTATTTTTAGTTGATTCTCCTTTATTTCTTTCTTCCTCATTGCTAGTATTTTTTGTTTCTCTTATTATTCTCTCAGTTTCATCAACTAGTCTGCATTCTCTATTTTTTGTCAGTCCTAGAACTATCTGATTATGGTTTCCTGCAATCACTTCATCATTCTTTTTTCTTTTATAAAGCATCACCGATTCATAAAAAATAATATTTCTTGATATAAAAGTCTTAACATTTTCAACATCCAACAACTTTTATCCTTTAGTTCTGAAAGGGTAGTTAAGGAATACACACTTCCTTGCTCTTGGGTCAAATTTATGACGATGACTTAGCAAGGTAGAGGCGAATGTAATGCATCCAAAGGAATACACACTTCCTTCCTTGTAGTTTGCGTTCAACTTGTTATAACTCATGCAGCAGGATAAGGGAATTGTCTTACCTTTAAATAGTTGTGAATCTTTCTTTATTGCCTGATTTCCATTCACAATCATTGCCTCTCCATACACATAATCTTTCAACAACACAAAAGCTCTCTTCTTCCTGTTTGGCATTCTCAGTCTCACAGATGAATCTATTTCTTCAGCATTGGAATTTTCTTTTTCATTCTCTTCATTTCCCTATGCATCAACACTATTTTCAGTTGATTCTCCTTTATTTCTTTCTTCCTCATTGCTAGTATTTTTTGTTTCTCTTATTATTCTCTCAGTTTCATCAACTGGTCTGCATTCTCTATTTCTTCTCAGTCCTAAAACTATCTAGTTTTTGTTTTCTTCAATTACTTCATTATTCTTTTTTGTTTTATAAGGCATCACCGATTCATAGAAAATAACATTTCTTGATATAAAAGTCTTACCATTTTCAACATCCAACAACTTGTATCATTTAGTTTTAAAAGGGTAGTTAAGGAATACACACTTCCTTGCTCTTGGGTCAAATTTATGACGATGACTTAGCAAGGTAGAGGCGAATGTAATGCATCCAAATACCTCCATGCTTGCATATGTAGGCTTGCTTCTGTACAGCTTCTCAAAATGAGTTTAGTTATGTATTGCTGATGAGGGAACCTTGTGCATGATATACACGGCTATTTGTACAAAATCACTCCAGAATTTCAATTCTCAATTCTAAACCATTCTGAAAAAGCCCTGGTAATATTTAGAACTTGCTGATGGTTTCTTTCAACTCTTCCATTTTCCTGAGGTGCTTCTATGCAGTTCATCTATACATTATTCTCTTTTTTGAATAAAATTTTTGCATAAAAAATTCTTTATCATCATCACTTTTCACAGCCTTGATTCTTGGCCCAAATTGTATTTTCACCCATGCATGGAAACTTTATAAAGCTGGTCTTACTTCATATTTACTCTTGAGGAAGTAAACCCATGTGCACTTGCTATAATCATCAATAATTGACAAAAAATATCTAAAACTATGATATGAGACCTCATTACAAGGTCCCCAAATATCGTAATGTATATAAGATCAAACTGGTGTTCAGACTTGTATTCACTAACACCGAAAGATAATCTGTACATCTTAACTAAGGAACATACATCACAAATATCATGCTTTACACATTTGGACATTTTAAAAAAAAAAAGAACCTGTTTTTAGTAACAATGAATGCCCTAAGCGATAATGACAACTTAAAATTTGTTCCTGATTCACCCTTTTGGGTTCTAACAGTTGCAAAAGTACATTGCTCTTCACAAAAAATTCTCTTTTCTGCTGCAAAATATACAATCCACGTTCCTGCCTATGCATTCCAATTGTCTTCCATGTTCGAAGCCTGTATCACACACATTTCAGATGAGAAGATTAGATAGCACTGAGAGTCCTTGGCCAGTCTTAGAGGGTGAAACTAAAAACTGGTGCACACAAAACATTATTTAGGACTAGATCCTCTGAGATCTTTACAGTTCCTATGCAAAAAACTTGAACTTTTTCACTATTTTACAACCCAACAGTAGAGGCAATATTAACTATATTTTTTGTATATAGATCAAGTGTGCAGACAATATGGTCCGACGCATCTATGTCAATCACCCAAGGGACTGCCTTCAATCCCTCTGACTCCACTGTAAATACACCGAAATTTAGATACTTACCAGAAAAGTCATGCAGTTTTGTCTCTATGCTGATTGAAACATGACTCTGCACCATGTTGGCAGTGGCAGGATTCTGCTATAGCAGTTGCATGAGCTAAATATATTGCTCTTAAGTTATCACATTGTTGTTCCCCACATCATTGGTTTCATTTCCTTCCCCCCCAGATACCTGATTTGCTATAGCTCCCCTTCCCTTCCCACGAGGCTTTTTCTCTTTGGGGTACCCATGCAATTTGTAGCAAACATCTATGGTGTGCCCAGATTTTCCACAATGTGTGCAGGTGGGTTTAGTTCAAGTGACCTTCCAGCACTTCTCTAACATATGGTCTGTGGTATTACAATGTGTACAATACAGTTTTTCCTTTCCTACTGCACTAGCTTTAGAGTTTTTGTTGAAGTCTTTGATGATAAAGGCCATAGCTCTATTAGGGCCAAGATCAACAAAAATTTCCCTCCTTTTTTCTTCCTACTGTACTATTGAGTACACCTCATTCAAGCTTGGGAAGGGCTTCATCATTAGAACTTGAGCCTTTTATATTTTTATAGCTCTCATCTAGTCTTATTAGGAACTTCATTGACCAATCCCTTTCCTGATATTAAATTAGGGACTTTAGACCACTGCAGGTGCAATTAGGGACATACTCATAATTAAGTAGTTCATCAAATAACTCCTTAAGCTTGGAGAAGTAGACACTAACATTGTTATTCTCATGCACTAGGCTGGCTATGGACTATTTCACCTCATAAACCCTAGGGGAATTGTGTTGAGCAAGCCTCTGCTCAAGCTCACTCCATAGTTGATATGTTGTCTTAGCATACAAAGTACTTCTCTTAATGTCTACAGACACAATATTCTGTATCCATGTTATGATGATGTCATCACAACACAACCAATGCTTCATCACAGGGCTGTCAGGATCAGTAGGTTCTCCAAATTGTTCCATCAATAAAATCGAGTTTGTTCTTCATCCTAAGGGCTCTCTTCATTGACCTAGCCCAAGAGTGATCGTTGTTGGAATCCAACATTTGGGTAACTAGCGATGCTCCTGAGTTCTCATTAACTCCCGAGTGATAGTTGTTGACAGATTCAGGAAGTCGGGTTGCATTTGAAGGAGAGTTTTTTGGTTTCCATTCCTTACTCTGATACCAAGTAATTTTGCTAAATCTAAAACTCCAAGTATCTTGCAGAAAAACTAGAGAAAGAGTGAGTTTAGATATTACCTGAACAAGAAGAAGGCAAAAGAGCAAAACCCAAATCACGGCTTACTCGATTTCCTTTCTATTTGGAAGAGAAAAATGAGAAGAAGTGTGGGTGTACAAAAATGACGGTGTTTAGTTAAATACATATACACAGACACAGACACAGGCTTCCATCATGCAGGTCACCCATTTTCCATGCCTTTCTGTCTGCCATTATCCTCTACGCCCGTCCTCATTCTTTAACAGTCGTCATCATTTTTAGGCAAGTAATCTTGACTTTATCTTTGACTATAAATCTGAGTTAATTATCTATCCTATATATTAACTTAAATTTAGGTACTTAATTAATTAATGTTATAGTGAAGTCTTCTTGAATCATGAGTGAGCATCTAGTTTATTTTCCATTTTCCTTGTTTAAAAAAGGTTGTATAATTTTTTTTTTTTAATAAATGTATATTAAAGTACATTTTTTTCTAATGATGAATATTGAATTGCGATCTTAATTTTTTTAAAAAAAATAAATAAATTTATACCACAAATCATCTATAAAACACCACTAAAATATGAATATTCTCATCAGAAAGCTGAAACATTCAACTCTCTCAACAGCCGACGAGCCACTCAACCGTTAGGACAACCTTTTAATTATTTAGTACAAAAATAGTGTGTCCCCAACTCAATATGACAACCTTATTGGACAGCCTTACAGACTTTTCTTTTCAAAATTAACCAGAAGTAAGTAATTAACTTGCGTGAATCCTAAATTTTTGGAGGCTATTTTGGTAAGTTTAACATTAGAGAGAAGAATAACAAGGACGGTGTTTAGAATCTTGACCCAGACTCTATTGCTTGACTTTTCATATCTCATCTCTGAAATCTTTGATTTGAGGTGGGTGGTGATGGAATCATCAAGTTGCGGTCCATTTGATTTCTCTGCAAAATATTACAAGGTGAGTGAAGATGGAAGTGGGTGCGAGAGATTGAGTAGTTTTTTTCAAGGCAAAGCTGTGCTTGATCAAGGAGTTGGCTACTCTGTTATTCTTGGCTTTGGTGCCTTCTTTGCCCTCTTTACCTCTTTCCTGGTATCAATAACTTTTCTCTTTCTTTTATTTTATGATTTCTATTATACAACCATATATGTTATGTTAAAAGAAAAGTATATTTAGCTTTTCATTTTGTATTTTATTAAAGTCTACTTCTATTTTTTTACTTTTTAAAAAATATATATATAATATGATATAACTTTAAACTTTTAAATAAAGACACAGAATTAATAAAGAGTGACTCAAATTTATAATTTTTTTTTTATAAAAAAATAATTTTACGAACACATTTAAATAAATATAAATAATAATTAAATAAAATATAAAATATAAAATGTTTCTAATTTTATATTATAAAATATTAAATGATAATATAAATTAATAACGATATTTTACTTTTAAAAAAAGAAAAGATAAAAAAAAAAAAAAAAAGTGAAGTATATGTTCTTAAGTATATAATTAAGGGTTAAGGGCTCATTGGTTAAGAACCGAAGTGAACATTGTTGGATTAGGCAATATCAAGGAATCATTACATTTTCAATTGCTTATTTTATATACAAGGCAGGTTTGGCTGGAGAAGAGGTATGTTGGGTCCCGTCATACATCTGAATGGTTCAACACTGCAGGCAGGAATGTTAAAACAGGACTCATTGCCAGTGTCATTGTATCACAGGTAAATTATAAATTAATTACCAAGTTTAGTTTTTAATTTTTCATCTTTCTTAAACGTTGGGTTTTGCAGTGGACATGGGCTGCTACAATATTGCAGAGTTCTAATGTTGCTTGGAAATATGGAGTCAGTGGACCTTTTTGGTATGCCAGTGGAGCCACCATCCAGGTATACGTATACATATTACTTGTATCAATATTTATGTAAATATATTTTCTCAATATTTACTTTTTTAGTTGAATGTTCTGTATTCTTTTTTTTTTTTTTTTTGAATTAGAATACGCATTCTTTATATTATTGTTAAAAAATTCTGTCGTGATTGATATACATATAGTTTTTATTAAAAATATTATTTTAATATTTATTTTATTATTTTTATCAATTTTATTATAAAAAATTATTAATAAAATCTTAATGATGCTATGATCAGGTACTGTTGTTCGGTATAATGGCAATTGAGATCAAAAGAAAGGCTCCTTACGCTCATACCGTTTGTGAAATTGTTAAAGCTCGGTACGTTACACTATGACGAATACAAATGTCTTCACGATTTGAATATGTGCTTTTTCGAATATTTATATAACGAAATCTTATCAAAACTCAGTTGGGGAACGGCTGCACATATCGTGTTCCTCGTTTTCTGCTTCCTCACAAACATTATCGTGACAGCCATGTTGCTCCTCGGCGGTTCTGCTGTTGTAAATGCATTAACTGGAGTGAATATATATGCCGCTAGCTTCTTAATTCCGCTAGGGGTTATTGTTTACACATTAGCAGGAGGTCTCAAGGCCACATTCCTAGCAAGCTACATACATTCTGTCATAGGTGAGGTTTACTCAACTACTTAGTCATTTTTCTGACACTTGTTGTGAAACTTGACTACTTGTGTTTTTGTTTATCTTGTTTCAGTCCATGTGGTTTTGGTCATCTTCGTATACCTAGTTTATGCAGCAAGCAACGAGCTTGGGAGTCCCGGAGTCGTTTATAATCGTTTGATTCAGGTTGCGAGTAAGTCAAGGTCGTGTGGAATGCCATTTTCGCATGATGGCCAATCTTGTGGTCCTGTTAATGGAAACTACAAAGGTTCTTACTTAACTATGTTGAGTTCAGGAGGACTCGTTTTTGGGATTATCAACATAGTTGGTAACTTTGGCACTGTTTTCGTAGACAATGTAAGATAATTTCTTACTGATACATAATAAATTGATTTCATTTTTAATGCAAAACTTCCCAAAAAGTTGATTTCATTTTATTGGTTATGGATTCTTTATTCTAGTATATAATCAAATGAATGTTTCTTGTTAACTTTTGAAATTGGAAAATCATAGGGATATTGGGTAAGTGCCATAGCTGCCAGGCCTTCATCGACTCACAAAGGCTACTTGTTGGGAGGACTGGTCTGGTTTGCAGTGCCATTTTCTTTGGCAACATCATTGGGACTGGGTGCACTTGGACTCGATCTACCAATCTCGGAAACTGAGGCAAACCATGGTCTTGTTCCTCCTGCTACTGCTGTAGCCTTGATGGGAAAAACAGGATCTGTTCTGCTTCTTACCATGCTTTTTATGTAAGTTTATTCTTTCATACTCGCTAACTGTTTGGTTAATTTACTTACTAGTATATTAGTAAGACTTACTTAGAGAGTTTAGCAATGGGAAGTAATTCTCTTTTTGTATTTGTATATAAAGGGCTGTAACATCGGCAGGTTCCTCAGAACTTATTGCAGTGTCCTCACTATGCACATACGATATCTATCGTACCTACATAAATCCGGAGGCAAATGGACCAGAAATACTCAAAGTATCAAGATTTGTTGTTCTAGGCTTTGGATGCTTCATGGGATTATTAGCAGTAATCCTGAACAAAGCAGGAGTATCACTAGGGTGGATGTATTTAGCAATGGGAGTTCTAATTGGCTCAGCAGTGCTGCCCATTGCATTCATGCTTATATGGTCAAAAGCTAATGCAGCAGGTGCCATTCTTGGCACAGTCACTGGTTGTATTCTGGGAATTACTGTTTGGTTATCGGTCACAAAAATCGAGTATGGACAAGTAAATCTTGACACAACCGGAAGAAATGCACCTATGCTCGCAGGTAATCTTGTTTCCATACTTACAGGTGGTGTTGTTCATGGTATATGCAGTATTCTGCAGCCTCAAAATTACAAATGGGATACAACAAAGGAAATTACGATGGTTGAGAAGATAGAAGAAGCATCCGATGAGTTTAAAGAAGAGAAGTTAACGAAAGCAAAATCTTGGATAATCAAATGGGGTATTGGATTCACTGTTGTGATTGTCGTATTATGGCCACTTCTCAGTGTACCAGCAGGTAAGTCTTGCAACAGCATTATATTTTATATTGTGTATGTAATTATATATAGAAAAGCAAAGAACATATTGTTTGGTTTCAGGAGAATTCAGTGTAGGATACTTCACATTCTGGGCTGCGATTGCTATAGCATGGGGAACAATTGGATCTGCAGTGATCGTTGTATTACCATTAGCTGAAAGCTGGAAGACAATCCAAAGGGTGTTTTTGGGTATGTTTACAAATGACAGGTTGATGGAGAAGGTTGAGGAGATGAATCTGAAACTCCATTCAATAATGGTGGCTATACCTGAAGCAAAAAAGATTTATTTGGCTGAGAAGGAAAAAGAAGAAAAATGATGCATCACAGAAACTGGCTTAAAAATCTCTTATAAAAATGAAGTTGATAATGTTAGAAATATATATATATATATATATATATATTTTTTTTTTTTGGTTGCTTAGATAGATGTGCCAAAATATATATATATATATATATTTATATATGCTAATTAAGTTTGTAAGGTTGGTGATGCATGTAGCTTGTTTTGTTTCTTATTGCCAAAGAAATTAGAAAATTTTCACTCATAATTTCTCAATATGATTAAACTTTACCAACAAATATAATTATAATAAGAGTATAATTATACAAACCTACTAAATATATCTTTAATAAATTCCAAAGTTCATTTAGAAATGTACATATGTTAAAAGGAAAGTTTTTGTATTTTTTTGTACTATTTTAATTATTTTTTAAAAAAATACTTTATTTTTTAAAGAACAATAATAAACCAACTTGACGATAATTTTTATAAAATTTGAACCGATTAAAATTAAATATGTTAAATTTATATAGTTATATTTTATTTTAAATAAATTCATATAAATAATTTTATATATGAATTTATATTCTCTAAATATTTATATTTAATGATACGATTTATATTTTTATTTAATTTAATAGGAGTCCAATTATATATAATAAATCAAAATTATTTAATACAAATACTCCAGGTTAATTTGACACGACTCCATGTCAATTAATATCAAAATGAAATGGTAGGGGATCGATCGGTTTGAATGAACCGGTTCACTTTTTTTTTTTTATTTAATCTTTTTTTTTTTCCCAATCCTTCTTTTTAATGTAATACCAGGTTTGAAGCAAGCGGAGAGTGGAAGAGGCTGCTCATGCAAGATGAAGGAAATAGAGACGTTGTGGGAGGAAGTGAGGGCGCTTACAGCCGGAAGCTACACCACTGAAATCCAACGACTGGATTCTCCTCCTTCATCTCTTCATTTCGTAAGAGACTTCGTCTCCCAAAACAAGCCCTGCATAATCTCTAATGCCACCATCCACTGGCCTGCGCTTTCCTTATGGCGCAATCCGTCTTACCTCTCCTCGCTCCTCGGGAACTCACTCGTCTCCCTCCACCTCACTCCCGACGGCCATGCTGATGCTCTCGCTCCCATCCCCACTGCTCCTCATTCCTTATGCTTCGCCTCCGCCCACGTCCAGCAGGTTCCATTTCCTCGCGCGCTTGACTTTGTCACCTCCTCCGGAAATGACGATGGTAAGGCGGTTGCATATTTGCAGCAGCAGAACGATTGCTTCCGGACGGAGTACTCGGAATTGGCCTCCGATTGCGACGCCCATATCCCGTGGGCTTCCGATGCCCTTGGATGCCTGCCGGAGGCGGTGAATTTGTGGATTGGGAATCATCTGTCAGAAACTTCTTTTCACAAGGACCACTATGAGAATCTCTATGCTGTGGTTTCCGGCGAAAAGCATTTCCTTCTGCTTCCTCCTACTGACGTCCACCGTCTCTACGTTAGACCATATCCTGCCGCACATTACTCCTATTCCGAGGTTTCTTTTTGTTATTTTCTCATTTCTTCCTCTTGAAATCTGTTTTTGATTTTATTGTTAAGGCTGTTGAGGTGTTCTTGATCTTATTTGAAGTGTACAGGAGAGTTTACACTAGAGCTTGAGAAGCCGCTGAGGTACGTGCCTTGGTGCCGCATTAATCCATACCCGAAGCCTGGTAATGAAGCCCTTGAGAGGTCCAGATTTCCGCTGTATTTCAATGGTCCAAAGCCTTTTGAGTGTACCCTTAAGGCCGGGGAGATGCTTTACCTGTAAGAAGCTCTGCTTCTTGCTATCCAATTGTTAATCTGTTTCTTTACTTTGCCTACCTTGAAGCTCTGGAACATATTTGACTAATTCTAACAAAGTGGAACTGGGAAGAAAAACAGTTTTGCCAATTACTTTGGAGGACTTTCTCATTTAGAACCAAATCCATATTTACATATGTGAACAATCTTATAACCAATGTTTGGACATTCTTTCATGCTGATAACTGAAAGGCCAAAAGCTTGGCTCCTGGTCAGTTGCCAGTTGCCAGTTGCCACCTTAATTTTTATGACATGCCAAATCTATGCAATTGATAATCATTCAAAAGCTTGGATCCTGCTCTGTTGCCACCTTAGATTTTGGCCCATGGAAGTTAACTGTATCCTTTTCAATCTGGTTGTCAATTTCGATGGCTTGTTTTGTTAAAGGTTCACACTTTCCGTTATCATAAGAGTTTAGAGAGTGAATCACATGAATGCTTTCTTCTCTGATTATTGACCTCCAGAAGCGTGGGATTTGATGACTTAACATCTATCTAATCTACAAGGGTAAATTTTCCCTGCAGTCATGGAGTGCGCTATTTTCCTTAATCTTTATTTAGTATTCGTATTTAGCAATAAAAGTTAAACCCTGAAAAATACACGATATAAAACTAGGATATCTGTAGTCAATATTTCTTTTCAACATGGTGCATATATGTCCCCCATGCCAATCTCACAAACCAAATCAGGAAAGCATTTATTGCTAACTCCTTTAATGAAAGCATCAGCAACCTGTTTTCTGGGTAACACATAAAAATGGAGTATTTTTACATATTCATAAAGTTCTAAGATTAACCTTTTAAAGGAAAAGGAAACAGAAGTTGTAGTTAAACAGTCTCAGTCTATAATGGACCTTGTTAGATAAATTGCTACTTTCTTTTGGTTGAGCTCCAAGACATAAATCCTAGTGCTTTTGCAAATTCTCTTACTTCTCTCAGTTACCAAATAGAATTTTAGATATAATGAACAATAGGTTTGAGCATTGAACACCCAAGGTTGTTGTACTGATCTTATGCATTTTATAATTCTGAGGTGAACTTGGTTGTTTGCAGGCCAAGCATGTGGTTCCATCACGTTAGGCAGAGTTCAGGTGACAGCGGTTGCACGATTGCTGTAAACTACTGTAAGAATAAAGTTTCATTCTATTCTCTTATTTTCTTTATGTTCATTCGGTTTAAGATTCTGAAGTGCATCTGGCAGGGTACGACATGCAGTTTGATATCAAATACGCTTACTTCAACTTTTTACAATCACTTCCTTACCAGTCATCCTACAATCCGACATTGATGGAAAGCGAGTCTAAGGATTTGGTATCTGATGCATCTGCCCGTGGTCTAAAAGACGAATTGCGTGCTGATGAATCTGCAGTGAAGGAAGATGAGTAAGTGCTGATCTCTCAGTGAGTATAATCAGATTATTTCTGGAGGACTTTAGATCGAAGAAGTAGAGAAATCTTAAATTAAGTGGCACCATCTGAGGTTTATTCGGTCAAAACACAGAACAAAATTTTGATCAACTCAATAAGATATTTGTAGTTTGTGACATGAGAAGGAAGAAAGCATAAACAGCATGTGTCAAAGATTTCAAATTTAGGATTAGATTGATTTTGGGATTCAAGGAATTGCCTGCAATCCACAGCAACAGGTTCTCTTGTCATTGCTCTGTTAGTTTGACAATATTAATATTATTAATTTTTCGAAGGACATTTATATATGTTATACTTACAAAGACATATAAATAAATTAAAATTGGAGAAAAGAAAAGCAATTTGTCATATAAAAAGCCTAATGTATTGTCATATTTCATTTCAAAATTAAATATTTTAAGTAGATTTATAAGTACTATAAATTCTTCAAATGAAAAAATAAATAAATAAATAAATAAATAATTGTACATTGATTTTGTGACAGACATCCAAAACCACCCTTTGAATGGATAGGCTGAATACTCCTCTTCTCATATATATATATATATATATATACATAATTCGAGTTCCTCATATTCTCTTATGATTTAAGAAATTTTATTTAAAAAAAAAAAAAATTTGTATGGGAATTTATTTTGGTTCAAAGCAATTTAATGTGGTGGTCCTTCCCTTTGCTATTTAATGGGCACCAAAACAATCTAAGAATCCTTTATTTTCAACCTCATTATTAAATTTTGTACATGTCTGTCCACTCTATATATATATATATATATATATATTATACACAGAAATAGCAAACCCCTCATCCCAGACATGTTACTTAATTCTTCCTTTTAAAGAAAACTAAAATGTACGTGTGGCATATAATATTTTCATGAAAAAAATAAAAGAAAGTAATATGATGATATCTATAATATTTTATTAAATAAAAATATCACTATTTTTTCCTATATTCAAATTTTTAAAAATTAATTCCTCAATATTTATTAAGCATTTAATTGGATGATAGTATTTTTTATTCCTATTTTTTTTTTATAAAAATAAATAAATATCTTAAATATGGTTAAATATTTCATTCTCACTGATTCTTTTTCATCAATATTTTATATATATATATATATATATATATATTTTAATATCATTTTTCAGGGTGTTTTCTGAGATTATTTGTGTAGTGTTCTAAAGTGGCATTAAGTACTTTCAATTTCTATATTTATTCTTATATTTATACATCTTCAAATACTTGTCTAATAATCAAATTACATATAAAATAATTTTTATATTTTAATTATTAATTTTTTTTTTTTTATAATCTAAATTATTTTATAAATCAAGAACATAGAACTAAAAAACCGGTTTTCTTGTGTCAAGAGCAATGATATATATTTTTTAGTATTAGAAAAATAATAATAATAATAATAAATTGTAAAAATAGTGTATCTACTATCTAAAGAACACACGTAAGCCACTATTTGGGTGGGGTTTTTATTTTTTATTTTTTAATTTTTTAAATGTAATAAAAATAAATTTTAACTATCTGCTGTTACAAAATGTTATTTTTATGTGTCTCTTGAGCTCAAGTGATTTATTCATCAATTTGCATTCGTTTTCCACCTATTTAGTTTCTAAAAATAATTCCTTGTAGGAAACTCCAATTAGTAATTGAGAAGATAAACATTATGAGATGTCCAAATTCTATAATTAGAAAGAAAAAAGGTAGAGAAATCTTGAGTGAATTATCTTCTACATATATATATGTATATGTATATGTATATGTATATATTTTTTTATAATGAGTGTGGAAATTACTCTTATATAAGACTGCAATGGAATATATAACCCACTAGTCTGCTATATTTAGATTAACTTGTAAACAGTTTTTGAAACTTTAAAAGAATTAGAACATGGTAGTGATTGATTTTTGGAATCATATAAAAAAGTCCCCAAATAGAAATTGTGTCTCCCATTTTATTTCTCACTATTTATTACAATTATTTTTAGCTTCATCTCATTGATCAACTACAAATTCTTTTCTAATCGGTCACTCAAAAACAATATGTTATTATTCTAATTTTAAAATATATACACACACACACACACACATATATAGATAAGAGTGTAAATATGGAGGCATTAATTAAGGATGTGAACAATGGAGATTTTTTTCCTAATTTTTGGCTATTTATTTACTCCTCTCCGCAACACCCCCTGTTCTCAATTCAATTAAAAATCAAAACTTTAATTTAAAGATGGTTGCTTTCTCTTCTTCATTTCTCCCTACAGTTCTCTCTTCAAAGCTCCTTCCTTCTCCTCCCCCTGCAACTCCATCTCACCAATTCACCATTTACTCTGTAAGTACTAAAGTTGATGAAAAGCCAACTTCCACCACCACGAGGACATCGCCAGAACCAGTCACTACCCAGACACCACCATCACTTCCTTCCCCTCCATCGCTGCCACCAAGAAAGCTAGTAACAAGAGCAGAACCAACCATCCCCACCATCGTTCTCAACGCATTCGACGACATAATCAACACCTTCATCGACCCTCCAGTTCGTCCCTCTGTAGATCCACGACACGTACTCTCTCACAACTTTGCTCCTGTCGACGAGCTTCCTCCGACGGAGTGTCAAGTTGTGGAAGGTGTTCTGCCTTCGTGCTTAGATGGTGCTTACATCAGAAATGGCCCTAATCCCCAGTTTCTCCCTCGCGGACCTTATCATCTTTTCGACGGCGACGGAATGCTTCACTCCCTTCGGATTTCTCAGGGGAAAGCTACACTTTGCAGCCGTTTCGTCAAGACTTATAAATATATAACTGAGAGAAACGCCGGCGCGCCGATTATCCCGAATGTGTTTTCCGGCTTTAATGGCCTCACAGCCTCGGCGGCTCGCGGCGCTGTCACGGCGGCGAGATTTCTAACCGGACAATTTAATCCTGTTAATGGCATTGGCCTTGCAAATACTAGCTTAGCTTTTTTCGGGAACCGTCTTTTCGCTCTTGGCGAATCAGATCTTCCTTATGCCATTCGTTTAAAACCAGATGGAGATGTACAAACAATCCGCCGCCATGATTTTGATGGAAAGCTTTCAATGAGCATGACTGCTCACCCTAAAATCGACCCAGATACCGGCGAGGCTTTTGCTTTCCGATATGGCCCTGTACCTCCCTTCCTCGCTTACTTTTACTTCGACCCAAACGGGAATAAATTCCCAGATGTACCCATTTTCTCCATGGCCAGTCCTTCGTTCCTCCATGACTTTGCTCTCACCAAGAAGTACGCTCTCTTTGCCGACATACAGATCGGGATGAATCCCATGGAGATGATGAGAGGGGGATCACCAGTTGGCTCAAACCCTACCAAGGTGTCAAAACTCGGTATCATCCCACGTTACGCAAAGGACGAATCTGAAATGAAATGGTTCGATGTTCCTGGACTCAACATAATTCACGCCATTAACGCTTGGGATGAAGACGATGGAAACGAAATAGTGATGTTAGCACCCAATATTCTCTCAATAGAACACACTCTAGAGAGAATGGACTTAGTCCACGCGTTAATGGAGAAGGTAAGAATCAATTTAAGAACAGGTGTGGTAACCAGAACCCCACTTTCCGCCAGAAATCTCGACTTTGGTGTTATAAATCCGGCTTACACGACGAAGAAGAACAGATATGTATACGCAGCAGTTGGGGATCCGATGCCGAATATAACAGGGGTGGTGAAGGTGGATGTTTCCGGCGACGGTGGCCGGGAGTGTATAGTGGCTAGCCGGATGTACGGACCGGGGTGCTATGGCGGCGAGCCGTTTTTCGTGGCGAGAGAGCCGGAGAACCCAGATTCCGATGAGGATGATGGGTATTTGGTGAGTTACCTTCATGATGAGAAGAAAGGGGAATCAAAGTTCTTGGTGATGGATACTAAGTCACCTGATCTTCGTGATGTGGCTGTGGTTAAGCTTCCTCAGAGAGTGCCTTGTGGGTTCCATGGATTGTTTATCAGAGAAACTGACCTTCTTAGGCTATAATCAATCAAACACAAGACACGTTACTGTGTATATATACATATATATATACAAGACACGTACGTGTGCGTACACACACGCACGCACACACATATATACGTATATCGTTATAGTAAAAAATTTCTTACTACAAATCTGTCTCCATGTACAAAGGCCATCCATCTTCTTCCATAAACTCTTAGCGTTAACAGTTTATGTAATATCTTTATATGAATATTTATGTGGATGGGGTCCATTAAATTTTAAAGGGATATATATTTCAGAAACATTTTATATTTTTATTGAATTAAATTATAAATTAAATGCCAATAATAAAATCTATATATATATATATATATACACACACACGCACGCTAGTTGAAAATATTAAAATTGAGATTAGAAATTTTGATAGAAACAATTGATTCTTCATTTTATGATGAGAAGGATGATAAAGACCCATAAGAGAAGAAGCTCCAGGTACTGATGCCAGCGGTGGAAATAAGCTTCATGTGAAAGTTATGCATACATACATACATACAGATATATATATATATATATATAATGTTACTAATACATGCCAATCACGTTATTTTGAAAGTACAGCTACGATCTAAACAATTTCAAATAGTATATAAGGTTCTTAAACATATATATATATATTTTAAAAAAATATATATATATAATGTTTCACGTGGACATTCATTTAAAAAAGAATTTTAAGAGTACAAATTCTATTTTAGTACGAGAATTTTACATCGGCCAACAAACTGAATGCCTACATAGTTTTAAATTGGTAGGACTTCTGGATAATATATTTCTTGCTTATACACTTATCGTTCTCTTTTTATTCAAGTAAATACAAGATGGATCTCCGATGACCCACAATGGGGACTTTGAGAAATGTTGAACATGATTTTTGTTCTTTATTTTGTGATTTTTTAAATATGGAAATTTTATCGAAAAATTATTATGACGTATGCATATATATATATATATATATATATATATATATATATATATATTAGAAGCAAGGGAAGAAGAGAGGACCATGTTGAATGAATGAATTTATAGTGGTTAGATGATTGAATAATTGGTAGGCTATATTTACATAAATTTTTAGTAGTTAATTGTGAGATGAATTTATAAACTATATCAAACATATTTATTAGCAAACCATGAATTCAAAGTGCAATCCAAGCCCTAAAGATATATTCAATCACATTCCATATATATATATATATCTCTAGAAATAGAATTCATAATAAAAAAACATTAAACTTTTTTATGTGCATAATCACTTGCTACCAACAAGAATATGGGAACATGCCTTATCTCTAAACCAGAAATGTTAAATTTACTCCTCTTTGTCCACCAGAATCACACCGAGAACCCTGCTGCTTAAACGGGGAAGATTAAGATTAATGATTATCACATACATTCAACCGTCTAACCCAGATCATAGGACTAAAATTTCCAATTTCCAAATGATACTGCCTAGACTCCATGAGAATGTATGTGGGTACTGCAAATATGAATCCTGCCTTTCTTCATCAAAACAGCCTGGGAACAGAACCATTTCAATAGTATCAATTTTTAGAGTAAGGGATGATCTCAGTATCGTAGTGTTTGACCCCTATATATCGGCGGATAATTTTCCTCAAGTTGAATAATTTGAGTAAAACCTGGAGAGTATTGCAGAGGATTCTAAGCAGTCTAGTCAGAAGGATATGCATGTAATCATAGTTATTTCACCTGTTCTGACTTGAATTCTACAAGTTGACTGTGTTAGAAAATCAAGTTCTTATCTGATATGAATGCAGGAAGGGCAAGGAATCTGCTTTAACCAGTGGACGAACACAGTATCCACAGCTTGGAATCTCAAGCAACATTACCAATGAAGCCAATTAAGAAGTGTTGAAATAATGCCAGCCCCAAATCTGATTATATCAATCAGAAGACCAGCTTATCAGTAATCCCAGAATCACTGATAAACTTCGTAGTTGCTTAGGACATTAAGCAAGATCGTTAGTTGTATTACATATCAAATATATAATCTAGTAAGAAAGTTTTAATAGTATAGAGGCAAAATCCTTGAACTCTACCAAAACAAAAAGCTGGGTGTAATAGGTCCAGGATTACAGATGCGCATATCTTCCTTTTTCTTAACTTCTCTTTTCTTTTTTTCTTCTTTTTTTTTTTTTTTTGGGATTCAGGGCCTACAATGATGAGCAAGAGCTTATGCTGATAGAACTGGAATTGACGCTTGTTAAGCTCTCTATGTGCATATTTTCACATGAAGCATAAAATTTAGCACTTTAGGTTGCTGTGGTGGACATCAGCTTTATGAATACAGAAGTGGAAAAATGGCTATGTATATATTTGAAGCATGAAATAATCAAATGTCCAAGTGTGTCAATTTCCTTTTGATTAGCACCTAAAGGAGAAAAAAAAATGCAGTATGGACAAGAAATGACCATACCGAAGCTTCTCTAAGTGCATGCCTACACTTTCACCATGTGTGCCTCGGCCACTGATGAGTTTAGATCTTCTCGAGACTGTGATCTCCTACTTTGAAGACGCATCTGACCTCTGTGAGGGGTCCAGAAGGAACCCATGCTAGAGCTGTCAAACTGCATCTGCCCCAAACTACTTGATGAATAACTATGTGCTACACTGCTGGTTGATGAGTACAAAGAGGATTCCATGAGCTGGATGCTGCTGCCACCAAGACCATGTCCTAAGCCAAATGGCCCTGGCGAAGGGCCACTAATTGTTGGACTTAAGGGTGTCTTCACTCTTCCATCCCCTGAAAAGCAACAGTTAAAGACTTCTGTCAGTGATTATTAGATAACTCAAATTCATAAAATAATAAAAGCACAGATGGAGAAAAAGCTGCCTTAAATAAGAGGGAGCAAAAATGGAATAAGACGTCCAGAAAAAATGATGTAGTTGAACCCAATGGAAAAAGGAATTATGATCCTAAGGTTCTGAGAAAAACCAGAGTCGAGTATGGTGACGAGATTTATGCAAATATGAAGTACCTAAATAATAAATTCAGAGACAAATTTCCAAGAGCTCCTTAATCTTGGGAAACTACTCTTTGCCCACAGCAAATTAAAATTGCAGCCCTTGCAACAGAATACTCCTAAAGCACACCATTGATCTTTATTCTAGGCCCCTACACTTATCTCATCTCAAAGCATGGAACTTTCAAACAAAAATTGGCTGAAGTTTCCATATCCAGTTATTTCCATATAATGCTTTATGCTTATGTCATGTAAAATTCAATACAAAAAGAAATCTTTCCCAAACGTTAGGCAAAAGCATTGCTAGAACCCCGACTAACAAGTCTATTATTTTAAGTTCTAAAGTGAAAAGAGCTGAGGTATAATTTTTTTTAAAAAAATAAAGAACTGAGGTATAACATTATTGAGAATACCCAGAAAATAAGGTTAGTCAAGGAGCAAAGGTTAGAAATCGACCTTACTGAAATTCTGTATTTCTTTGTTTTAAAACTTTGGGTAAATTATAATTTCACTAGCTATGATTTGACACTTTTTTATATAAAAAAGAAACATAATTAAGGACAGAAGAAATTAAAAAAGCATATCATCATACAAGAATAACAAAAGAAACCAAGAAAAAGAATAAAAAGTAAAAAATAAATAGCAGGAAGGCCTTAGCATAGAATAGCCTCCACAATTCCTCTGCCGACTAGATAGATTAAAGATGTATTCCTGAAAAATTTTGTGTCTTAGCGGACAATGGAGAACACTATCCTATCCCAAATAAGTATAGAAGGTTAGCTGAATTTATAAAAAATTCTAGAATAGTGCTTAAACCATAAGACCGAAAACCACAGCAAAAAGAGCACCAACCCCCAAAGCTTTATAATCCTTCCTCCTCACTGAACCATTCTAATGGATAGAGAAGAAATCCCACATCTTGCAAAATGTTAATTATAACCTTTAATTATCCAGAGAATGGCACGATTTTGTCTTTGCATCTGCAATAATTAGTGTTAATCCTATTCAGTACTACTATCCAGGGAAAAAAACTTTGAGCATTGAGGGGAGTTTAACCTTCCAAAAAAGGAGTCATCTTGAGGTTTTATCCATAAAAAAAAAAGAGATAATACCAATAAAAACATTTAAGACACCCATGTAGTTTATTCCTTTACGAAGCCCTCCATTCACTACCCTTAAGCACTCCATATCCTCTCCTTATCTCATCACCAAACGAGATTTTAGGGGGAAAATCTATGGATTGCTCTATGGATTGCTCATTTGTATAACTTGTACCAGAGTTACAACACTCCTATTTTCCCATTTCTTGGATTGTTAATGATCATGAAGTTGGCAGCATGATTTCTTCAATGCAGTTCATCAATTTGACTTTTTTTTCCTTGGACACTGAAGACAGAGTTTGGTTCATGCAACCTTTGAGCATCTTTTCATGCAAATCCTTTTGTTTTCCTTTCGAACAAACTTTCATTCGTAATCTTGCGTTTTCGAAGGGACCCGCTCCATCTAAGTTTAAGGTTTCTTTGGACTGTGTTTTGTAATAGGGTTAATAATGATGATATGCTCCAAGTTCGCACATTGAATCCTGCCCTTTCCCAAGGGTATTTGAGATGTGTTTCAAAGCTGTCCTTATCTCATCATCAAGCAAGATTTTAGGGAAGAAAATAGCCCCACTATGACCATTGTTGCTCTAAAGATTGCTCATTTATATAACTTGTACCAGAGTCACAACACTCCTATTTCCAATTTCTTGGATTGCTCTATGGATTGTTAATGATCGTGAAGTTGGCGACAGGATTTTTTTAATTCAGCTCATCAATTGGACTATTTTTTCCTAGGACACCAATCACACTGTTTCGAATCTTCAAGTATTTTCTCATACAAATCCTTTTGTTTTCCTTTCTTGCAAATTTTTCATTCATAACGTTGTTCTTTCTAAGCCTTAATTTGAAGCCACCTACTCCCTCTAAGGTTAAGGTTTTCTTCAGACTGCCTTTTTAAATAGGCTTAATACTGATTATGTGCTACAAGTTCACATGCTGAGTCATGCCCTCTCCCAGGTGTATGTGAGATGTGTTTCAAAGTTGTTGATTCTCAGCCACCTGTTTCTGCATTGTGATTTAGCATGGCATCTCTATGCCAGATTATTTGACCCCTACAGTCTCGGGATAAAAGTAGGACCAACACTTAGAAGGTGGGGAAAATAAAGCTGTGTTTGAAACAACTGATGTAAGACAAATTGTGTTTAAATCCAACCTGCCTAGTGAGAGTATAGACCAGAGAAAATTGGAGATAAAAAAATGAAGAAATATAGAAAGAAGTGGATTGGATAGGATAAGTTTGAGTTGAAAATAACCAGAAGAATGAAAATTGAGATCAACAGCAAATAAAGCCCTAACGAAAAATTCTTAATTCATCATCGCTTATTTTTTCTAGATACTTACTGTATATTATATAGATATTAGTTATAAAAGATAATAAAAATAATAAAATAATAAAAGAGAAAATAAAAATTTCTTACTGTTGTTAAAGTTACTGGTTGACCTATCCTTGTTCAATTGAGCTGTTCTTCAAGCCTTTGCCTTGAAATAAGTAATTGGTTGAGCAGATTTCAAAGAATGGTTGGTACTTTGTCGCAAGTCAGTTCAAGCTACAAGTTTTAAATTAACTTTAAATTTTTCACTTGTAACAAGCTGAAGTCTTGTGAAGTTTGACTTGAGGGACAGTATTAGAGAACAAGAATGTCTCCTACAGTCTATTTGAGTAAACTAGTTTTCTTATAGTCTTCCCTCTATATTCAAGTGTGTGTATAGGTAGGTCCCATTCATCAAAATCCTATTTAATCAAACTCTAATCTTAGTTTTCCTTTTCATATGGATTTTAAATTGTGATTTACATTTTCGTTCAACATAGTAAAACCTCAAGCTAGTCCACTGTTACAACCATCAGAGATTCTATTAAAAAATTTTATATCACAAGGGGTAAAATTATAATTTGCTGTAGACATTTCCTAACCCTCGAGATTGTACATTTTTATTATAATATTTATGTTGACAAAATTGGCATCGAGAAATTTTGAATTTAAATTATAATAGAAATTTTGACTATAAATTGGAAAAATTATATTTAGTTAGCATTTACTATTTGGAAATATTAGCTGGCCAGGGAGCTGACAAGATATGGTACCTTGCCGAATCCAAGGCTGCTTAGGTTCACATCCAATTCATTTACTTGATGACTTTGTTTAGAATAACAAAATTTGGTGTTTGGACTCACAGCACAAACTTTCCCTGCTAAAGGAACAAAGGAAGTACAAAGAAAAAGCTACTCTTTTGAAACAAACAAATGTAGCAAAATAAGCATGTATAAGTCACTATTATAATGGAAGAGCTTACCTGTGCTGATTGGACTCCAACGCTGGAATCTGAAAGGAGAAGGGATATTGAGAACAGATGTGGTGGATGCACTTTTATGACGAAAAAGTGGGAGATAGGACCTCCTGAAAAATCTTGGCATCCAATTGCCAACACAAGATAGTGCACAGAGTAGCAAAAACAATGAAACAAGCAAAATTGCAATAAGGATTATTGGATTCATCTTTGTTTGGAGTATGTCAAACCCAGGAAGTACTGGTGTGCTTGATAATAATTTCCCAGCTTCTAGCAGTGCCACTCCAAGTGTCCACGTAATACTTCCAGAGCCAATAATGATTTGATTGTCAGTTATGTGTAAGCCTTCTCGCAACAGCGATACAATGTAGGGTGCCCTAAAGCAATACTGTTCAATAAAAGGCTGGGGAGAGACACTGTTTTTTGCTATTTCCCAAGTTTTTTCACAGAATTCACGGCCCCTCTCCAACACATCATCAAGGGCAGCATCTGCAGTAAGATTAAAAAATCTGTACACAACAAAAAATCCAGATACAGCATAGAACCGCCCATATGGACGAGGGTAGCTGTCTGGAAGAGCACAAGGTTGCAAATCGCAATCAATTCCGGGGCTTAGATGGGACCATTCAGAAGAATTAACAGCTACTTTTGCAAGTGCACTGCATTTTTGCCAATCTGGAGCTCCAATAAGCTTGACAACAACCCCGGACTTTCCTCCTGCACCTAAAACTTTCCCTCCTACAATTGGGCTCCCATTTTCTCGCTCAATAGAAGAACAATGAAGGCAGGTGTATTTCTCCTTATAGCCAGACTGCAAACAAGGATGCTTGATTTCTACATTCCCACTAACTAATTCTGCATCACTGATTTTTTCTAGAAGCCCCTTTAAGAGATGAACCACAGACCTTCCAAATGCATCATTCAAACCATATCCTGAGAGAGAATATGCACTAAGATGATGGTTAACATCTCCAATTCTAAGGTTTAGGTTAGTCTCGTTATGCGCATTTTCCTCATTCTCAAATGTAACTTGCAATGATGATCCACCCAAATCAAGGGCACCAAAAGTTTCCTTTTTTCTTTTGGCCCCTAACTTCTCTGTCTGATAGTTAAGGGCCGTCCATCCATAGTAAGCTTCCTCTGTACCACTAATAATCTTAACCCACTCTTTCTTGCATAAGAAGGGTGAATCTTTCAATATGGACCATGCATTTTCTAGAAGCCAAGTTGAGTCTGCGGTTGGCAGCCTGCGAACCCCAGCTGTAGCATAAAGGAAGAGAGATGTACTACTATGAGCATGCTCAGGAATTTGCTTGGCTGCCCACCGAATAAGTGGTTTTATTGCACCCTTCAGGCCAGATTTATTGTGCACCAGCTTATCAAGCCCAGGTTCTGTCTCCATTCGGTCGTAAGCTCGCCCACTAGATTTTTGAGAAATACCTTCTCTTAGTGACTTCATGACAATCGGGAAGCTACTGTCTCTCTTGTTGTTAATGGATGCCTGATAAACATATACTCGAGTCCCAGTACTACCACAATCAAGAACAACGTAGAATTTGGATGTTCCTTGAGACCAATTATGGTAAAAATACATCGAAACCATGTATACCAAAAAAGCAAATAACAATAGGGATAAAAAGACAAAGATAACTTGCACCCACTTTCTGTGCAGAAATGGGGTTCCGGTGGACAATGCCTTCTCCTTGGAGAAACTTAGGTTATTCTCTTTCTGCAATGGATGCGGGTGTTTTGCATTGATATCAATCCCATGGGGAAGGTTGCCCTCTTCAGGATCAAGGCGATGATACGCTGAGAAATCTTGGAGAGATGAGGAGAGCCTCAAATTGTTCTTGCGTCCGGAGCTAGCAAAATTCAGGGGATGGGGAACAGGATCGCCTCCAGGAGGTGATAACCCAGTAGACATATGTGGAACAGCAGAAGACTGCGGAGCTGCCGAGAGACGAGCAAATGCAGCTGAGGATACTTCTGCAATCCGCTTGAACATCATTTCTTCATGTGCATAAATTATTAGCAACTTCCGCCAAACAATTCATTGCAGAGGTCAGAACGAAATAACTTATTACCATCGTATTCTGTACACTAAATGCAAATGAATTGTGCCGATTTAAAACTCCTACAAACTTCAAATTGTCTACAGAACTGGTACAAGGGTTTGGCCACCAAGTAGGGAACAGTGAAGTTCACAAATTCTGCAATTGATAGGATCTAGTAAATCTCAGATTCTCATATGATCATTCCTGAAATCTGTATTAATGATAAAGTCAAAAATTGATCCAAAGGCCTACACGTAATGATTACCCAACTGTCGATCAATACAGAAAATAAACGATGGAAGAGTTGATCTGCAACAAACAAAGAGAGTCCAAGTGTTTTGCATTTGTCTGAATCACCGAGGAATAGTGAGAAACCCAGAAAAGAGAGGAAAATTCAGACATACCCGAAGGAAGAAAGAAGCAACAGAGGTCCTAAATTTTTGCTTCAGATCTCTCTCTATGACTTGGTAGTCTGCGAAAAGAGATGTAGACACGTATATACAAGAACAGAGTGCCTTACTTTCTTTCTCTGCTCACTTTCTATCTCGTCACTATGAATCTAACAGATTTGAGATTTTATCCCAGATCCAACCAGAATGAAACTGAAACTGAAACTGAAGAAGGGAGAAAGGGCGGTCCGCGTCTGGGTAAAAAAGCTCACTTTTTTTTTCTTTTTTTTTTAATTTTAATCTAAACCAGTAGTTATAAGTAACTTCACACTTGTTTCAACATTTGAGCTGTGAGACTTTAGGAACGAAATTAAAATAATTTTTAAATATAAATATTTGGTAAAAATAACTAAAGGAATTTAAACTATTCTGATATTTGGTCAACTTTTATCTTCTTCTATTTATCAAAATCAATATTTTTCAACAAAATCCAACATATATAAATCAATGCTTAGTTATTAGTGGAATAAGCCTTGAGGTTACGAGAGTTTGTATTTAATTATTGTATATGGCTGTAAAATTAATGTAATGGTTAATGGTTATTATATAACTCGGTTTATGACTGAGTCTACCCAAAAAAAACATGCATCAAATCCCAAAAAGAAACTCATACTCATTCATATATATTTATATATATATATATACATGTTTTTTGCATATAGTGTGATACCCTAGTAATTCAACACAATCTACAAATAGACTTCCTTTGTTCAATATAATAAACTTATAACTATTGGAATATACATTCAAGCTGTGAAGCTTGGAAAGTTATTATGAACAATCCAATGAAACCCCATTACAAATGGAATGAAAATTACAAAAAAGTTAATACAATTAAATGCTCATTGATTTTAGTTTAAATTTTAATTTTATAAGATACGAATAAGAAACCATCTTAAACAAAATAAAACTTTGATTAAAATGATATCAAATCAAATTAAATTTCTGTTTAGATAAAAAAAATTTGATATTAATATGTTAATAAATAAAAATATAAAATTTTCAAAGCTAACAATTTTTTTTTTTTTGTAAAAAAAATAAATAAATTAAGTATTAATTGGCCGTAATTATTTCAATTAAAAATAATTAATTATTACAGAATGTTTATTTTATTAAAATCATAATATCTCACTGAAATAAAATCCAACTTAATCACTAAATCCAACCAAACATAATAATAAACTAAATCTTAAATCTTATTAAATTAAATATTATAAATCAAACACTATCTTTATTAAGATGTAATTATTGGATAATAATAAAATAATTGTCAGGAAAAATCAGTTCTACCCTTTTACGCTCTACGGCTAACCTTCTTTGAAGTCAAAATAAGAAAAAACTAAACAACGATGATATGCCATCTTTTTAAATGTAATATGACAATTTTT